ACACATACTCAGACACAAACACACACACACACACACACACGATCGTGCGTGCGCGAGCACACAAGCACACTGCACACATACGTGCACACACACTCACACACACACACACACACACACACACACACACACACACACACACACAGATGTACACACATGAACCACCGACGGTGGGACGGTAAAGCGCTTTTCGCTCGCAGGCAGAAGACTCGAGTTCGATTAACAAAATATGGGGACAACATTATTTTTTAATCAAGTACCGGTACCAGTATCTTGGTACAGTCTTTCTACTTTCTGCTGGGATTGTGTATCATTCATCCCTCTCAGCCTGGGTTGACCTTGACACTCATAGTCAGAAGGCTATCTATTACGATCTATAATGTCTATGGAGGCGTTAGGTTAGACACCTACACGCAAAGAAAAAAAAGAATGACCCCCAACCCCCTTCCCTCTCACCGAAACACATCGCGCTTACGACATTACAACCTGCTGTTGTGGAGAAAGGAAAAAAAAAAACCCACTCAAAATTAGGGGTGCGGAGTCTGTTATTATCTATCTTAAATAGTGGCTTAGTCACTCACACACAAAAGAAACAAAACAAAACGAGACCAAAACACGAGGACGGCAGTGAAACGTTCAAGCACGTTCATCGAACGATTCCGAACAGAGCGCGACGCTCCAGTTGACCTTGCTATTTTTAGAATCTTAGTCGGACGAGAAATGTGCTAGCACAGCGCTACAACACAACAACAGGATCTCCGAGCCTAGTCCGTCAGTTCATGTATTGAGCTTAAGACTGCAGGTTGAGTTTCTGATTGCTGCTGCCGACATCCATACAATTTAGGTAAGAAACGGGTTTTCTGTTTTCAGAGTTATTTATCCATGATCTATTGCGTTAATAGCAGCTTTACCTCGAAAGTTGCTCGTGTGGTCAACCAACGGGTTTTTCCAGGATCTGGGTTGAGTGAGTGTGGTTCGTGTGTTCAGGGTTAACGGGCTATGGACGATCCAGTTAGTCTCGATTGTCGATTCGCTGAACAGTATACACTTAATAGAATAGAGAATTAATTAAACACTTTCATTGTTTCACAGTGTGTATAAATGTTCTATAGCTGAATATTAGTGGAGGTTCTTCCGTGTCACTGGTATTTCAGTCTGTAGGCCTACATGGGTGCTTTGTTTTGCAAGGGTACCGGTAACCGGTCTGCTCTTTTACTTTTTATCAATGTTTGTTTTACACTTTATAAAGGAAAAATAAACGAACTGAAAAAAAGAAAAGGTCCAAATACACAAGATTAACCGTATTTCTAAAGTTTCTCACATCACGGGTCGACCACCTACAAGAAACGTAAGGCTAACAGTGCGCGGTTTTCGTAGCGAAAACGTTCCCAGGATCAGAGCTATAAATAGTAACAAGTTTCAGCGCTATTCAGCACCGCTCGGAAGGCTTTGTGGATCAACTTCATTAGCCTCTTCCTATGTTTGATTGAACTCGAAACCATGTTTTAGTTTATTTACATTTTGATCTATATCTATTTAATTATTTGTTTACATAGATCTATATAATGTATTTATTTATTTATTGTTTGTTTGTTTATGTGTTTGTTTCATTTGTT